GTCTAAGGGCAGATTTGTAATTTCCTGAAACTAATTTGGTTACACTATATGAGATTAGGGTGGGGTTGGTTAGAGTGGCAAATTACAAGGACCATTTATGCCAAAATCAGGAAGATTGTGTCTTCTTCCTCACTGCATACGACTGCATTATGCAGTCTGCATATGACTTAATCCTTTTCCCTCCATTGATAACTGATGCAAAAACGAATCCTAGAAAGCCAATTTGTCTTATCCCTCAAATGTTATCCCTTTAACTTATTGATAAATATCTTTCCATTCCTTATCTTAAAAGCTCAAATCGTTGGTGAAGTAGGAATCCCGATTTGAAGTTCCACCATATCCCCACCATAAAAAAAACATCATTGCACCACCGTGAACCGCCTACTGCCGCTACTCCTAGGCCACCTCCTCTTGATCAGAAATCATCCCAACACAACCCATTATAGTCCGCCTCTTACAACCTCTCCCTCTCGCCGGAATCCGCTCGAAACAGAGGAGAAAATGGGCAATAATAACGGTCATATTCTCAACATCTCTGCAACGTGTATTAGACTAGTTCAGAGTCAAATTGTGTTCCATATATTTAGGAGTATTCAGTTGTATTTGTGTGTATAAATACCTGGTGTATATCGTTGTATTTGATATCAACAAAGTGAGATCATTCTTTTACTTCTTGATCCTTTTATGGTATCAGAGCAGTCCTGATTTTTTTTTCATGGCTCACAACACTCAACATATTTTAGGGTTAGCTACTGGCTCCTCTTTTCAAATCCCTCCCATGAGCATCAAACTCGAGACCTCCAACTTCTGTCTCTGGCGTACCAACATTGTGTCAACTCTGGAAACCTTTGATCTTGAATCATTCATTCTTGACCCTCAGCCACCACCAGAAACCATCACCACTGAACGTGAAGATGCTCCTCCTACTGTTGCTCCCAATCCAGAGTACAACTTGTGGAAGCGACGTGATCGCTATGTCCTTCTCTGGTTGAAATCCACCCTTACTGAAAGAGCCCTTGCCATTGTTGCCCGCTGTACCTCGTCTCGTCTTGCCTGGCAGTCACTCGAAAAGACATTTCAGGCCCAAACAAGAGCTACTCGTATGGACATGAAAACACAACTTCAAACCTTATCCAAAGGCTCTCTGTCTATGATTGAATATATAGAGAAGAAACGTGCCATTGTTGATTCTTTAGCCGAGAATCAAACTCCCATTTCCACAGAAGATCAAATTGGGTACATCCTTCAGGGTCTCGACTCCTCCTATGGTCCATTCACCTCTGCCATCATGATGAAGGATGATACAATCTCCGTTGATGATCTTGTAGGGCTTCTTCTCCAAGAAGAAGCTCGTCTAGAATACGAACATCTTCGCCAGTCAACCACTGTTGCTGATTCCTCTCCTACCCCTCCGGTGGCGTTAACTGTCAATCGACAATCCCGATTTCAATCTCATTCATCTGGACCTCGCCCTTCTGATAATAGACGCCGACGACCCCAATGTCAATTGTGCCAAAAACCAGGGCACAAAGCTATTAATTGCTGGCAAATAACCAATCTTATTGATTACCCTAATCGCAAGCCCAATCCACGTGATACACAAGCCCGCCAGGCCCACCTGTCTCAATACCACAACCCATCGGCCATGACTGATCCATCTTGGTATGTCGATTCCGGTGCGACTGATCATATTGCCCCCGATCTTCAACGCATGAACATAGCAGAAGAATATCAAGGCAACGACAAGCTCCAAGTTGGTAATGGTATGAATCTCCAAATTTCTCACATTGCCTCTACATCTCTTCACAATCTAACATTGCCTTCTGTTTTAATTGTTCCTCACATCACTAAACGATTGATCAGTGCTTCCAAACTAAGCAAAGACAACAATGTCTACTTGGAATTATGGCCTAATCGGTGTGTTGTTAAGTCATTGCAGGGTCGAACCCTCCTCAACGGGGACGTTCATAATGGGCTGTATCGTCTACCTATCTCATCCAATAAATTGATCCCCTCTTCTTCTCCTGCAGTAGCTCTTGTTGGCATTCGCACATCCCTTCATGGTTGGCATAATCGCCTGGCTCATCCACATGCTCCACTATTAAGACGCTTAGTTTCTTCTTTCAATCTTCCATTGTCATCAAATAACTTCCCCAATGTTTGTAATGCTTGTCAGCTTGGGAAAAGTCATAGATTTCCCCTTTCTGTTTCTCATGTAACTTCAAAGCAACCCTTTGATTTAATATATTCAGATGTTTGGGGTCCAGCACCTTTTCTTTCGATGAATGGAAACCGTTATTTCTTACTATTTATTGATGATTGCACAAAATTTGTTTGGATATATTTCTTATCTCACAAATCTCAAGCTTTCTCTACATTTGTTCAGTTTCATAACATGGTCAAAACTCAATTCTCCACTAATATTAAACATATACAATCTGATTGGGGTGGTGAATACCGTCCATTCTCCCCCTATCTTCGCGCTCATGGCATCGGTCATCGGGTCTCATGCCCATATACCCAAGAGCAAAATGGTGTTGTGGAACGCCGGAATCGAATCATTGTTGAAAAAGGTCTCAGCCTCCTTGCTCACTCTTCCCTCCCAAATCCTTTCTGGGAACACGCGTTCAAAACAGCTACATATGTACACAATCGCACCATTACACCAATCCTTAAATATCACTCCCCATATCAACAACTTTACAAACAGATTCCCGATTATAGCTTTCTAAAAACCTTCGGCTGTCTCTGTTTTCCATTCCTTCGTCCCTATAATACTCATAAGATGGATTTTCGTTCCAAACCTTGTGTGTTTATTGGATACAGTTCCTCCCACAAAGGATACCTCTGTTATCATCAGCCCACATCTCGCATTTACATTGCACGACATGTGGTCTTCAATGAGGAGGTGTTTCCCTACTCGACATCAATATCCTCCCCCACAGCTGCACCTACTTCAATTCCTTGCACTCCTTCCCCTACACATTTGTTACAACATGCCTCACAACCTACATTCAACCTTCCACCATCACCTACACCACCCACTACTCCATCCATACCCCATACACTCACACCCTCTTCCTCTTCCTCTGCCTCTTCCTCTTCCTCTTCTCCATCCAATTCCAGCCCACATTACCAACAATCTACCATCAGCTCCCGTGCACATCAACATCCACCTCACTTTCGTCCTGCCCAACATAATCACCATCACATGGTCACTCGTGCTCGCACTAACTCTCTCAAACCAAAAACTTTTACCACCACCTTAATTTCTAATGACTTAACTGAACCTTCTTCTTTCCAACAAGCCAACAGCTCACCTTGTTGACAAAAGGCAATGACTTGTGAATATGATGCTTTAATGAGAAATAATACTTGGAAATTGGTACCATGTCCTACTAATGTAAATATTGTAGGGTGCAAATGGATCTATAAGATCAAGCACAAATCGGATGGATCAATAGACAGATACAAAAGCAAGACTTGTAGCACAGGGCTACAGTCAAGCTTATGGTCTTGACTACTTTGACACGTTCAGTCCTGTAATCAAGCCAACAACAATCTGACTTGTTCTTTCACTTGCTATTTCCAACAAATGGAGCATTCGACAACTTGATATTAACAATGCCTTCCTCAATGGCGATCTGGTGGAGGATGTTTATATGCGATAACCAAAGGGTTTTGAAGACAAACACAATCCCACACATGTTTGTCACTTGAAAAAAGGCAATTTACGGCCTAAAACAGGCACCTCGTGCCTGGTTCAACAAGCTCAAATCCTACCTCATTAAACAACAGTTCCAAGCTTGCCACTCTGACACATCACTGTTTGTGCATAAATCTAACAAAGCTACAATATATGTGTTAGTTTGTGTTGATGATTTGATTATAACAGGTACGAATGCCAACCTAATCCAGAATTTTATTAAGCAATTAAACAAGGTGTTTTCTCTCAAAGACTTGGGTGATCTACATTATTTTCTTGGTATACAAATTAATCATCAAGGATCTGTTGTTACACTCAGTCAAACAAATTACATCAAAGAAATCCTACATAAAACAAAGATGCAAGATGCAGCTTCCGTTTCTACTCCAGCGGATTGTCAAACCAAACTCACTCTGGAGGGAGAATCATTTTCTGATCCAAAACTGTATCGCCAGGTTGTTGGTTCTTTGCAATATGCCACGATTACACGTCCAGATATAGCTTATGCTGTCAATCGTGTTTGCCAATATATGCACAATCCCACTGTCAAGCACTGGCAAGCAGTGAAGCGAATTCTTAGGTATCTCAATGGTACACTTCATCACTGCCTTCACTTCTCCCCAACAAGATCCACTTCATTGCTAGCTTACTCTGATTCTGGTTGGATATCTGATTCGGATGATAGTCGAAGTCAATATGGTTTTGCAATTTATCATGGGTCAAACTTAATCAGCTGGACTTCACGCAAACAAAGAATGGTCGCTCGATCGAGCACTGAGGCTGAATATCGATCTCTTGCATATACAACTGCTGAACTTCTATGGATTAAACACTTGCTTTCTGATCTTGCAGTTTCCTTCACCAAGCCTCCTCTTCTTCTCTGTAACAATGTTGGCGCTGTACTCATGACCAAGAACCCTGTTATTCGCACCCGGTCAAAACACATTGCTTTGGATGTTCACTTTATACGTGAACAATTTGAGTCTGGAGCTCTTTTAGTTCAGGGAATTTCATCAGTTGATCAAATTGCAGACATCTTCACGAAAGCTCTATCCAAAGATCGTCTACTTACTCTCTGAAACAAGCTTCAAGTTCGACCCTCCTTTCAGCTTGCAGGGGGGTAATAACGGTCATATTCTCAACATCTCTACAACGTGTATTAGACTAGTTCAAAGTCAAATTGTGTTCCATATATTTAGGAGTATTCAGTTGTATTTGTGTGTATAAATACCTGGTGTATATCGTTGTATTTGATATCAACAAAGTGAGATCATTCTTTTACTTCTTGATCCTTTTAGGCAAACTCGTCGACCACAGTCGACTGCCACCCATCGCCGACGCCCACTTGATCACTCACCGATGTTGTTGCTGTCGGAATTCCACCCCTCCGACCGCCTGCCACCTTCTTCGTCCCTCTCTCGTCAATCTCGTCGGACGAACCCCAGGGGAGGAGCATGGGAGCTGCCGCTGTGTGCCACCCATCACCACCCACTGACATCCTTCTTTTGGGGTTGCTGCCACCGTGAAAACTCTGATCAGCAATCACATTCCACCACTATGAGTAAATCGACCACCACAGAAGGTCGTCGTTGTTGTGGGACGCCACCGCTGTTGCTGCTGCCGACGCTAACCACTCACGACCACCGCCTACCCACTGTAAGCCCTTTCACCATCACCATCATTCGTGTTTTATCCCTTACGAACAACCGAGGCCAAGAGACCCCGCAGATGGGTCTCGTTTCCCTTCATTTGACTGTGAATCACGTCCAAAAACGAGGAAGACGAACTGTGCAAACATTGGTATATTTTATTTAAATCTAACCCTAATATATACTGCTTTTACGAGTCGAGTCCCTCCTTGTGAAATAATTTACATTCAACTCAAACTGTCTTGTAATATAGGCAAGATCAACCCCTCCTTTCGAAAACCTTACCAAGATGAGTCCGAAATTTGCAACTTAGGCTGTGAATGTACAATTCTAGTCCCTGCCTTGGAAATATATTGAAAGATCAGTCATGTAAGGATGATTTTAGCAAAATCGGTCCCTAGAAATTATTTATGTTAACAAAAACCACCCAATACTTAATAACTAATACCAAAGCCACTATGTTGGCTTTATTAGGTAATTTAAATATACCCAGTGGTTTATTTTAAGATCAAGGAACGTTACTTAGAAGTTTTTACGACGAGTTTCTCACCACGAACCTCGTTCACGCTACGAAGGTGAGTGTTACGGCCCCTTTTTATGTTTTATTATTTTTGGGGGGGGGGGGGAATACATGTGAAATATATATAAATATATTTTCCGGTTATGAAATGTGTTTATAAACATGCTAAATTTATATATCGGCTATGGAATACGCATATAAAACATATATCTATTTTTAATACTTATTATTGTCAAAATAATGTATTATAAACCGATTTCTTTACGATATACATGCGTTTAAAAATATTATTAGTCTTGTGCATAATTTTTTTTTACTTGTTTCGAGCATGTACAAACATATTTATTAATTATATATGTACAAATTATAACAATTATATCTTGGAAATCATTCATGCATGTGAAGAAACATTTTATCTATTCAAGCGAGTGACATACATTTTTTACGGATTTATCGAACTTACTCGCATTTTATAGTGAACCTTTACCGTATAACCTAGTTAATGGCCTCTATAGTGAGACAATATTCATTACCTAAGTTTAACCACTTAGTATTCCCATTTAAACTATAACCGTTAATCCTCGGAGCGAGATATGCATGTATAGATCTATACGGGTTGACACCCCCACCTGCGGTTGCTAGCTACAACCTCGACTGATCAATCGAAGCGGGTGATAATTATCTTTAGTATAACTACGACGTCTAATGAAGCGTTGTGCAGGGATTATAACGGGTCACATAGTTCGGTTATAGGACTCACTATAGGCATTAACTGGACTCTTTAACTAGAAACCACGGATTCGGTTTCTCTGTTTATCAACCATTTTTAAGTATGGATTTACTTATGGTTTAACTCTTTATCAAGCATTTTAAGTATGGATTTACTTATGGTTTAACTTTTTATCAAGCATTTATTTAAGTATGGATTTACTTATGGTTTAACTCTTTATCCAACATTTTAAGTATCAATTTACTTATGGTTTAACTTTTTATCAAACATTTTTTTAAGTATGGATTACTTATGGTTTAACTCTTTATCCAACATTTGAAGTATGAATTTACTTATGGTTTAACTCTTTATCAAGCATTTTAAGTATGGATTTACTTATGCTTTAACTCCTTATCCAGCATGGATTACTTATGGTTTATCTATTTATCAAATATTTTAAGTATCGATTTACTTATGGTTTAACTTTTTAACAAACATTCCAATCACAAAATTACTTATGATTTCTTCCTTTATCAAACATGGTTTTAACCACAAAAGAAATACTTTCTAGACTTATAAAGTATCATTACTGCAGTTAGCAGAAAACCTGTAACTCTCACCAGCCTTGCGTAGACCCTCAAATCACACGTATTCTCAGGAAATCAGTGAACCGGCCTTTAACAGAAGATTGGTTCATGGATTTTCAGGCAGTCTAGTCTCATTTAGTTTTTGTTATGTCTGCCTACTTGTTAAGGCGAATTTATGAACCTATTATTATATGTAGGAACCTTGTATTCGAACTTTAAACTGGAATGTAACTGCTATGTTGTTATTGTTGTAACTTGTGATGTATATTCAATTTGCTTGTGATCCATGAACTAAGTCGCACAGCCCGGCGTATTCAGCCGCCTCGACCGGGGGTGTGACAGATTGGTATCAGAGCTAAATTGGCTATAGAGAACTCGTATCCTCGAAAGAGGAAATACAACTATAGCTACATGCTCCTAATAAAAGTACTATTAATAAATATACTACTTCTCGACTGCTCACGGGAGAGGCAGCTGGTTTGAAAGGTCGCTAGGGTTACTGGACTTCAAAACGGCTTAATTGCCACAATGGTCCTGGCCCCCGGTGTTTTCTGTCTGACCCTCATATGTGCTTAGTAGTCTTGGAGTACAAACCAAAAATTTAATAATACTACAAACTTCACAAACAATAATATAAAAGAGTTATATATAGATACTCTGACCCGCGATGAGAAAACTTAATAAACATTCTGACATGCCTTAAACTAAATCTGCCAACTCAACCCTTTAGGTCAAAAGCCTCAACTAAGGTTAGTATCGTACATAGGCCATACCATAAATAAACTTGGAACGCGCGCCTATGTTATTTATGGTCGGGCTGGTGAACGACCAACCTTGAGCGACGAGTTTGATAGACTATAATGGTTGAGAGTTTTAGAGATTGAAGGATGTTCTCAAGACTCGATACGGGTACCTAATACCTAAAATCCTTGTATCAACTCCCAGACAACATATACATCTTAAACAAAAAAAATCATAAAAATACTTAAATGTCTCGGATACCGTCCAGATTTTCCTGATTTACCTAAATCCGAAAAAGATCAAAGAACCAGTAGCTCCGCTACTCTCACAGCAGAGAAACTGTAGTACCCAGTAGATCGTTCAGTATTTTCCAAACTTCTATCTCCCCTATCTTCCAAAGACGACAAGGATTTCCAAATACGAACCATTTAAAGAATTTTTTTAGGGGAGGAATCTGAATAAGAGAAGGGAACGATCGAAGATGAGAAACCAGTTGAAGAAAACATGAAAGGAAAAGGACTAACAGATGAAGAGTCCACCATTCAAACGCCACCAGTGTACTACATCTACTGATTATTTTAAGGTGGAACGCTCTGCATGGATGCTCTTACAGAAAGGATTCCACTTCATTCCCAAAGTGATACTTCCACCTAAAGGAAGCAAATGTCATCACAAGAGCCGTAATGATTCACAAATACTCTGAGAGAGAACTAATAGTCTCGAGGAACAAGAATATGACAACTCATCATTCCCCAAGTTCGTTCTCGCCTATCACAAAGTCTATCAATAAAGTTGTGCTTCTTCCAATTGAACGAAGTGTTCGAATTAAGCCAACAAATCGAATCTATGATAGACAACATGAATATAGTAGAATACACCACTCGCACTCTAAGCCATAGAGTCGGAGAACTCAAGAAATAATAATATGATGAAAATGGGATTGCCCATATACTATGCCATCATATCAAAGAAAGGTCATTACCCATGGTCACAAAATATATATTAGAGTATAGAGTCCAACTGACCTAAAGCAGACTAGGAATCAAACGATTGTAACAAATCAAAGGATGTGTGAAACACATAATCAGCTCGAAGAGCTAGCCAATCTGCTAATCGGACATTTTAAATCTCTAACAAGATTACCTAGTGCGATTAGTACCCTAAGGTTAAGGTTAGGAATCATGGGAAAAGAGATTATATGCAAACATTTATCATTTCTATGTCTCTCAGTGAATGAAGCTTTTTCATTACTAACCCTGCCCATGCTTGGAAACTGGGTGTAACAAGATGTAACCAAAATAAAGTGTTTATGCCATCGAGTGTTTCAAAGGTCATAAATATTATCATTCCTCGCTATCGTTTAAATTGGTAGGATTTCAACCCTCCCTCTAGCATTTGGAAACATGTAGAATTTTAGAAATCGATCGCTCTCTATCATGTGGAAATCTGTAGGATTTTAGGAACAAGTCTCACTAATACACTATCATATAATACGACTTATAAATGCTCGTTTATAACTAAATTGTTATCGGTACATTTCCTGTCATCAAACCTCATTCATCTGTGCTATTTGATTATGGTATCGATAGAAGCTTCATTGACCATAAGTTTAGAAGCATGCTAAACCATAAATCCTGAAATGGCCAAGTAGAAGGATCTTAGAGATACTTACCACTTTCCCCCTCACCTTGAACAACCACGTCTCTCACGTCAACCTAATACCCATGACCATTGGAAGTTTCGATGAGATTATCAGAATGGATTGGTTATCACCTCTCTGAGCTGAAGTTCTTTGCTATGAGAAAGTCGTCCGATTATCCATACCCAACGAAGAAACTCTTGTGATTTATGGTGATAAATTAGGGAAGAACCTAAGAGCCATTTCTTGCATGAAGGCAAGAAAACGCTTACAAAAAAAAGATGTTTCGCTTTTTGGCCCACGTGATGGATATGCAAAGCAAGGGTAAGGAAATCAAAGATATTCCACAAGTGTGCGATTGCCCGACACGTATTCTCAGAGGATCTAGCTGGACTACCCCCAGTCAAGCAGGTGGAATTCCAAATCGACTTAATCTCGGGTGTAGCGCTAGTGGCAAGATCTCCTTATCGCCTGGCACCATCGGAAATGCAAGAACTATCCGGTCAACTCCAAGAACTAGCTGACAAAGGCTTTATCCGGCCAAGATCTTCACCTTGGGAGCTCCGGTGTTGCTTGTTAAAGAGAAGCATGGATCGTTCAGGACATGCATCAACTATCGAGAGTTGAACCAATACCTACTCCCAAGGATCGATGACCCCCAGTTGCAAGGACCACGCTACCACTCGAAGATCGAACTAAGATCTGATATTCATCAACTCAGAATTCAAGAAGAAGACATTCCAAAGACGACATTCAGGACCCGGTACGGTCACTACGAGTTCCTGGTTATGCCCTTTGGGTTGACCCATGCACCGACAATATTCATGGATCTTATGAAACGAGTGTCCAAACCCCATGTGTACAACCTTGTGATTGTCTTAATCGATGATATTCTAATATACTCACAAACCAAGGAATATTATGGACAGCACTTGCGTTTGATTCTGGAACTACTAAGGAAGGATAAACTTTATGCAAGGTTCTCAGAATGCGAATTCTGGATCAACGAGGTACATTTCCTTGATCATGTGGTCAATAGCAAAGGAATTCATGATGACCCTGCAAAAGTTGAAGCAAATACGGATTGGAAAGAACCAACGACACCAACCGAAGTACGATAATTATTAAGGCTTGTGGGCTATTACTAGAGATTCATCGATAATTTCTCTAAAATAGCCAAGCCTCCAACTGATCTACCCAGAACGACAAGAAATCTGATTGGGGAGACAGTCAAGAGTCTGCCTTCCAGAGATTGAAACAATCATCGTACGATGCACCAATCCCGCCCCTTCCTAGAGGGAACGTTAGGCTTGGTAGTATTCTGTGATGCCTCTCGCCAAGGATTAGGATGCATGATGATGAAAAGGAATAACATCATTGTGTACGCATTCAGAGGACTTAAGCCAAACGAGACAAACTACGCTACCCATAACTTGGAATTGGGAGCTGTAGTGTTTGCCTTAAAGATTTGGAGGCACTACCTATACGGAACGAAGTGTGTCATGTCCGCCAATCACAAAAGCCTCCAACACATCTTCGATCAGAAAGAGCACAACATGAGACAACGAATGTGGGTAGAATTGCTAAATGATTATGAATGCGAAATTCGTCGTCATCCTGGTAAAGCAAATGCTGTAGCAGATGCTCTAAACAGGAAGGAATGAACAAAACCACTTCGTGTAAAGGATCTAACCCTAACAATCCACTCTAGTATCACCACCCAAATTCGAGCCATCCAACTGGAAGCCCTCGAACCTGAAAAAAAAAAACATCGTGTGAGAGAACCTGCGGGG